TTCCTGGGTAAGTGTACTTGATGAATCTCATTTTCACCTTCTAGTCTCCCCAAGTGGAATCATGTTCGAATATCAGCGCTCTAAACACCAGCAGTTCATCCTTCATTCAGCATTCTCCTTTCCCTCTCACTGCACACTCTCAGTCTCTGGACATCAGCATCGCGGGTACCGCCGTCACTGCCTCATCTACATCGGCATTAAATACATTCTCAAAAATCCACTTCGAGTCACACTGCTCCACCCTCATAAGAAGATCCTTAAAGGAGTATTGGCAATGGTCCTTGTTCTGTAGTTTAGGTCCTGGACGACTAGCCTGTCTGTCCGTGGAGTGGATTCCCTCTCTCTATGTAGGGTCTTCCGAAGGTTTCTCACTTTTTCCCCACGGGGTTTTGTGAGTTTTCCTTGCCGGAGGGTCTGGACAGTTAGTGTCCAACTAGAAGGCCCGTGGTGATGATCCAGGATACTTTAACATTCTACAACATCTATGGACATTTTATCAACATTCATAGACTATAATTACTCCTTAAACAATCCCTCGACGACCCCCTGGTCTGAACAAATTCAAAACCTCTGCTCCCTGCATGTAACCTCTCTTCCTTTCTCTACACCCGCCACTCCTTCCGGATAGGAGCAGCCACTTGGACTGCTGCCCTGGGACTCCCTCAATCATCTCTCCAGGAGCTCGGTCCCCGGTTCTCTACCACATTCATCCGTTCTGGCAGCCCAGCGCCTCCTCTCATATAAGTACGTATGCATCTCCTGGTGGTGGCAACTCCTCATTTCCAGCATGCCGCGCACTCGAGCCGAGCTCGTGCGCGTGCCAACGCCTAGCGCTAGAGCCGAGCTCGCGCACGGACATTACGCCGCGCACTCGAGCCGAGCTTGTGCGCGTGCCAACGCCTAGCGCTTGAGCCGAGCTCGCGCACGGATATTACGCCGCGCACTTGAGCCGAGCTCGTGCGCGTGCTAGCGCTAGAGCCGAGCTCGCGCACGGACATTACGCCGAGCGCGTGTCAACGCCTAGCGCTAGAGCCGAGCTTGCGCACGGACATTACGCCGCGCACTTGAGCCGAGCTCGTGCGCGTGCCAACGCCTAGCGCTAGAGCCGAGCTCGCGCACGGACATTACGCCGCGCACTTGAGCCGAGCTCGTGCGCGTGCTAGCGCTAGAGCCGAGCTCGCGCACGGACATTACGCCGAGCGCGTGCCAACGCCTAGCGCTAGAGCCGAGCTTGCGCACGGACATTACGCCGCGCACTTGAGCCGAGCTCGTGCGCGTGCCAACGCCTAGCGCTAGAGCCGAGCTCGCGCACGGACATTACGCCGCGCACTTGAGCCGAGCGCGTGCCAACGCCTAGCGCTAGAGCCGAGCTCGCGCCCGGGCATTGCGCCGCGCACTTGAGCTGAGCTTGTGCGCGTGCCAACGCCTAACGCCAGAGCTGAGCTCGCGCACGGAAACAGTCACTCACACCATGCGCCTTCCATAAACGCAGCAACCAAGTCATGGCAAACGCATCGCTAGCCAAGCTCTCTTTTTGGGGATCATGATCTGCACCCAGGCGCAGATCTCTCCAGAGCACGGCCACAGCCGGGGCCTAAGCTCCAAACCAATAAACAAACTCAATCCATAAAATAAACAACTCTTAAACGCATCTCGTCTCTTGTAGTCTCTCCAGGTTGAAATATCGTAGTGTAAAAAAGGTCTGTTTTGTTCATGTTTTATTTTGTGTAGGAATGTCTTAAGGTTAACATTTCCTTGAAAAAATGCCATGGAGTGAGTAGGATGTCGTGGTCTGCCCATGGGCGGACAGCAAGTAGATCCAAGGGCCTCCAGGATCTGCTCTTCAATAGCCTCCAGCTTCAACGTGAAGAAGTTGCTGGGCCTTGGCGTTTAGGTGTTGGATTAGGGTTTTTTACCACATGATTGTTTTTGATCCAAATCTCCGATATCAAATAAATAACTTCAGTTATGTGGGTTATTGACTTTAACACCCCTACTCGGCTGAACCCTCGTTTACATGAAACAGAGGCCTCACATGGGACGGCTCACATGCCGGCTGAACTCCCGTCTCCTTTCTGCGTGTATTCTCCATGTTACACTTAATGTCATTTTAAAAGTTATCTCCTAAAAAACCAGAGCGCGGGGTGAGCAGATGCAAAACTGTGTGATTCATGCAGCTCATAAATGATTCAAGAAAATATGGAGTTCAAGTGTATCTGTGTGTGTGCGCGCCTCACAATAATGTTCATACAAATACTGTCAGAATGCAGCATTATCATACCAGGCCCTGAATGATTCATCACTTCAATTAAATCAGCTCATTTGGACCAGGACGTCACAGATTCTGATCAAAGTTCAGCTCGTTAGATTTAACTGGTCCAACAAACCCATTCTTCAAATAGACCAAGTTGAGTCTAAAGAGTTTGATTCTCCGATTTGTTTATGAGAAATCGACAACTTTGTAAAGTACTCAGGAGACCACTGGAATTGAGATTTGGGGCTACACAAATGTACAATGAATCATCTAGATGCCCCAAATGTGCGTCCCATTCCACTCTGCATGTAATCCTGATGCCTTGGACAAACCCAAATGAATGGGGCTGTAGATGTAAAAGTACAACAACAGAATTTAATTTCATGTCTCAGTTCAGTCACACGGGAGGAGCTTGGAGTAGAGCTGCTGCTTCTCGACGTTGAGATGAAAGAGAAGACTCTGGCAGGAGGGACCATGAATCCCCTGAGAAGCTGAAGGCAGTGGAGAGAAACGTCTATTTTATGTTATTATTTTTATTTTTATTTTTTAACTTAAATTGGTGCCTCAGTGAACCAAGCAACATAGAGTACAGACCAAAAGTTTGGACACACTTTCTCAATCACTGAGTTTTCTTTCTTTTCATGACTATTGACTGTAGATTCACACCAGGCTGTGTAAGGGCTGTTTGACCAATAAGGAGAGTGGTGGTGCTGGGCCAGATGACCTGACCTCCACAGTCACCCGACCTGAACCCAGTCCAGATGGTTTTGGGGTGAGCTGGACCACAGAGTGAAAGCAAAAGGGCCAACAAGTGCTAATCACCTCTGTGAACTCCTTCAAGACTGTTGAAAGACCATTTCAGGTCCTCTTGAAGCTCATCAGGAGACTGCCAAGAGTGTGCGAAGCAGTGATCAGAGCAAAAGGTGCTACTTTGAAGAACCCAGAATATAAGACATATTTTCAGTTGTTTCATACTTTTTTTTGTACGGACATAATTCCACATGAGTTAATTCATAGTTTTGATGCCTCCAGCGTGAATCCACAATTTTCATAATCATGAAAATAAAAATAAAAACTCTTTGAATGAAGGTGTGTCCAAACTTTTGGTCTGTACTGTATATAGTGAAAAAAATACCATATGGATGAATGGAATTATTTCATAGTCTTACGTATAAAAATTTTATTTTCTATGTCAGCTATATAAGTACATCACATTTACAACAACACCAGCTGCCCAAAGGGTTTCACAGGGTTTAAAAGAAAACAGCATAAAATAGACACAAATACACGTAAAATGTAAAAGAGTAAAACTTAGTTGGTGTCAAAAGCCGAGGCACAAATGTGTTTTCAGAGTTGACTTAAAGGCACACCGCGGACTTTGTGACCTAAAGAGTTGACACATATGAGTTATTTTATATGAATACTTGGGCCAATATACAGCGCTTGACACTTGCAATGCTCCGAGCGGGGCTGCCCTCTTGAAATACCGCCCATGTAAGTTTCGAGCAGACGGACCGTCTGCCACCAGGTCACGTGACTTGGAAGAAAGACTTGCTTTACGGCTACAGGCGCTGATATACTCATGGAGCTAAGGCTTTTGCTACTCATTTTTCACCTGCTCGACTCCTGGTCATGGCTGAGGCAAGGAAAAATTTTAAACCTTCGGAGGAGGCTAAAAAGAGGAAACGCGAAAGGGATCGTGCTGTAAGCTGCATGTCTGTATGAGCGCTGCTCTTCACCTGGTTCCTGGATGTCATCAACTGCAAAGATGTCATTCCACGCAGCACGAGCTAGACGCAGAACTCCCTCATCCAGGATATAGAAGTCCATGTGTGGTAGATTACTAATGCAGCGGTCTGGAGGCTGACCACAGCAGAGTCTCTCAATATCTGTAGGCATGTCTCTACAGTTTGAACACACACACCAGTGCATGCTGTCTGAATACACACTCAAAAGACACCGGCTGACTGTTTGTTGACTTTTGCGACAGTGCTGAGTTGCTTGTGGCCACTAGGGGCGCTAAACGTGAAAGTTGCAGGTCTAGCGCCCCTAGTGGCCAAGAGTTACACGGTGTGCCTTTAAGGACCTCCAAAGTACAGATGTAAACTATCCCATAGTTTGGCAACAGCAAAACTTGGTCTCCTCGAGGTTTGAGACGAGTCCTGGACACATGCAATAAAAGCTGGTTTTCCAATAATAATATCCATCCATCTTCTTCCCCTTGATCCATTTCTGGGTGAAGGGGGTGGCCGTCAGAACCGATTCACAGAGGACCAGACCCTCGCTGATCCTCCTGTAGGTGGTGAGTCCACAGGAGGATGGCTGCTCTGTCAGTCACAACACAGCCTTGATCTTTCAGTGGGGCTTCAGACAAAGTGGGGTAAAGTGTCTTGCCCATGGACACAATGGCAGTGGGAGTTGGTGGTAAATGTCCCGTGGTGGGCTTGAACCCATGACCTTCAGGCTCTACCAACTGAGCCGCTGTTGCCCTTGATACAAAGATACATTTAAAATGACTACAATCGAACATGTGTGTGTTGTGGTGTGTTGAAAATGTGTGTGTTTGTGGTATTGTGTCGAACATGTGTGTGTTGTAGTGTTGTGTGGAACATGTGTGTGTTTGTGGTGTTGAACATGTGTGTTTTTGTGGTGGTGTGTCGAACATGTGTGTGTTTGTGGTGTTGTGTTGAACGTGTGTGTTTGTGGTGTTGTGTTGAACATGTGTGTGTTGTGGTGTTGTGTGCAGGGACTTTGTGGAGCAGAAGCTTGGGGCTCAGTTTGTGAGTTCACGATCACTGGACTTCTCTGTCTCCTTTGAGGAGTCTGGACCGGCCACACCCATGTTTTTCATCCTGTCTCCGGGAGTGGACCCCCTGAAAGATGTGGAGAAGCACGGTGAGTGGACTCCAAAAGGACAGAGACTTATTCACTGGTAGTCTTCTTTATTTAGACAGCACCTTTCACAGACCGGAGTCACAAAGTGCATTACAATTGTTGTGGCCATTTGTCTCTCACTCCACACACAGGAACGGGGACACATGTACACAGGAGGCGCACACCAGACCTGTAAATGTTTAGTGGTAGGGGAAACCGGAGCACCCGGAGGAAACCTACACAGATAAGGGGGTAACATACACACTCCCTGCCTTCCTTAAAGTATCAATCGGTATCAATCATAAAAAAGTGTACTTATGCATTCCTACTTGAAATGATTTAGTTTCCATAATCACTATGATTTCAGTAGTAGTCCAATCTCTTTAAATGTGAAGTTGGCGAGTATTTCCTGTAGAAGGATAATGGTCTCTGCTCCCCTGACCTGACCTGCAGCTGTTTGACTGTCAGCGATGAAAGCGAGTCGTGTGCAGAGCAGTGGCTCGTCCACGGCAGGATTTCCTCAAAGGTCATCCCATATGAGGCCGCACGCGCTCAGTTTGCTCGAGCACAGAGGAAATGTCACTGCTTTTTACTCCCACTTTGAATCACTTTTATACACAATGACTTTTTTCAGCAGAGAAACCTCAGGTGGTCTATCCCCGACCTCTGGATGTGCATTCTCTTTAGCTTACACCAATCTCTACACCTTAGAATCTCAGGGCAAGAGAAACCTGAGGAAACCAACACAGACACGGCGAGAACATGAACTCCACTCAAAAAGCCTTTTGGCGACTGGGTTTTTTAACCCAGGACCTTCTGGCTTCTGGTGACAGTAGCCCAGTTGGTAGAGCATTGGCCTTAAGGCCAGAAGGTCGTGAGTTCAATTCCCACCTCTGCACCTTCTCCACCGACTCCCACTGATGACTGCTGTCATTGTGTCCTTGGGCAAGACACTTAACCCCACTTTGCCCAAATCCCCCACTGAAAGATCAAGGCTATGCTCACCCTCAGAGAGCAGCCGTCCTCCTGTGGACTCACCACCTGCAGAGGGTCAGTGAGGGGGTGGTGCTATGTGACTTGCGTGGCATCTCTGACTGCCACCCCCCTGACCCAGAAATGGATTAAAGGGTAGAAAATGGATGGATGGATGGACCTTCTGGCTTAGAAATATAGACGATATAATTGATAAACCAAAATCTTTATTTTATTAAAAAAACTGCATTTGCTTTTCCAAACATAATTTGCAACAAAAATTTGATCTTTTTTTTTTTTTTTGTCAAAGGCCTACTTTGATTGTTTGCGTTTATATTATGAATGAATTAATCAATATCTCTATCCAAAAATAAATCTCAGGGGTAACTTATTTATACTTATATGTCGAAAAACACGTTTATACACTAATCTCATTCGGCACGCAGAGATACTCAGTTTGCCCTCTCGTCTGATTTATATGAACTGAAAGTGCAAAACAACAGAATCCTGATGTACACAGTCACGTGACTAATGTGCCAACGTCGCTGTATTTTATCACTTCAGCGATTCCTGTTTGGACAAAGCTATTATTATCTTCTGACCTCCATTACCTGAAAAAACACCTGGAAACATATTCACTGTGTAAGTTGTGTGTCCAAAGGAGTGGCCTTTTCTTTCACCCTTTTGCACTGAAGTAATTGTCTTAAAGTTAAACCAATCCAAGCTGACATTTGTTAAATCCGAGCACTTCTTTGACAATGTCACCCACCGACTTTGCATTGGTCCTTTGCTCTCCAAAGAGCTGGCTTCAAGGGCTGGTGTGGGGCTGGTGTGGGACTGGTGTAACCAAGGGTCTTAGGGAAGTGTGGGTGTGTGTGTGAATCATAGATCTATTTTAATAACTGGATAGGGTATTAATAGCTTGGAGCAGAAGGACCCATATGCTCGGGGGATTCTCGCGGTACTGCAGATTAAGTCTAAATTCACGTGGGCTACCCAGACATTTTTCTGATAGAACTCAATGTAAACTAAAACAACTCAAACTCAGCTGAGTGCAGGTGCATCATGGGAGCTCGCACACTGCGCAGAACCGGGAGGACAAGATGATGGCCAAATATGGGCGAGTTCTGCCATGCGCCACTGAGCACAAGCCACTGATTTGAATAGGACGCCATCTTGGATTGCCGGGGCTTGGTGTGAATAGACCAGTGGAGGTCAAACCCCGGCCCATGGTCTGATGCAGCCCTTTGAGCATTTCTATCAGGTCCCTGAGCCCTCCTCAGTTTATCAAGATATAGAATAAATACTATAAAAGCCCTCTGTGCTGCAGAGCTCTGGAGCCTCCCTGCTCTGTTTTGATGTATAATATTTAATATATTTTTACTCATGTGCAAAAAATTAACATTGGAAATTAGGTCTGTTCCCCGGGCAGGCTAATATTCAAATATGGCCCTCAGGAGTTTGCCCATGCCTGGAATAGACGGTATGCTCTACATACATGCACATCCTGCATACATACAGATGGGGCAGCCTTGCTGCACACAGACAGGAAATCTAATGACAGGAAGAACTAATTCAAATGTGTTTGTTCACGCATGTATGTGAATTTGGTCCACAGATAATTGTCTTGATCCCGAGTTTGGAGTTTGACTTGTCACACTTCACACGTTCACAAACCTCTCCTCAGGCTCTGCTCCTCTCCTGCGTATGTGAGCTTTATAAATTACAGCGTGGTCTTTAGCCTTCAGACTAGTGGGGGCGCCCTCTCCCCTCAGGACTGCCCCGTGCTTCATCCAGCAGTGGGCTGAGTGGAGTGTATCAGCGCTCATCAGCTCTCCATTAGACTGATAATGTAATGGGGATGATTCTGTGATGGCAGACCACCAGCACACTCTCCAACTGCTCCACACCACAGAGCAATTAGGACTTTAATCATTCCACTGCCGCACTGCCAAATAAGGAACATTTCGATTAAGAAGTCTAACTGTAAGGGTTCACTCGCTTTTAGAGCTTCATGTTTGCAGCTAAATTATCATAATTAATCAGAGTTCTCTTTTGTCCTGGGGCTGATTGACTTTTACTGTCTTACAAAATATTTTTTAGGGAAAATCTAATAGAAAAAGCATCCTTTCCATTTGTGAATGTGTGTTTTGAAAATGTCTGTTTTCATCTGAAACATACTGTTCTTGTTACTCTCTATGCTACCACTAGAGGCTGTTTTTTGATTCTCAAATTAGAAAATTACCTTCTGCAAACCCATCCATGCGATAATATAAAGAACAGCATTTCATCCCATAAATTGCCAACGCTAAACTTGGGCAATACTTTTATTTTAAAGGGCAGAAAATGGCTCTGTGTGTGATGTCACAGTGGCGCAATGACATCATACTGTAACAGGACTTAGACCGGAGCTTTTAGACACAAGAGGCGGAGTTACAGTTTACATATTTGTGCCTGATATTAGCATGGATGGATAAAAAACAACTCCAGGTCTCTTTGTGAGGAAGTAACGATGTTGTGACATGGTTACAAGCTCAAACAGTGTAATTATGCATTTTATTAGTCGTTTCATTTTATGTTCAATGGCCCGTTCTTGCCCTTTCCATCCTGCCCTTTCTGCTCATTTCCCTAAACCACTGTTGGACTGTGTGCCGTTAGTTCCCTGGTGTTTAGTGCAGTGGCTAATGGTGCCGCTGCTTACACTCTGCTCAGTCTTTAAGCACATTTACTTTTACGGCCCTCGCATGAACACTTTTATTTAACGCTCCGCATATTTCACTTTACTACACTTTTTATGAGACCACGCGGTACACAAATGTGATCAGACAACATGCACAACCCATAAGTGATAGTTGTGGAACTAGCTTATGATGAACTTGGTGGTGGTTATTTAGGATAAGGAATGTGAAAGAGAGTGAGGGGTACGTTTGAACACCAGCCAACTGTTAAAAATGAGATAATTCTGGTTTTGATTCGTTTAGGCCAGTCTAAGAATAGGTGTCTATCTTCTGGTTCCCTCCATCACTCAAAAAAAAAAAAAAAAAAAACAACTCCATTGAACAAATCCTCCTGTGAAGACTGGGTGCTGCATGTCATCTCTCACAGTCTATGGTACAGATGTGTCTGTCATGAGGCAAATAAGGATAACCCAAAATGCAGGACTGCAAAAAGACTAGATTTAATAAAAACAAATACAAAACTGGGGATGAAGAAAAAAAAACAAGAGATGTTGGAAATTCCAAAAAACAGAACCAGGACTGAAGGAATACACAGGGTTTACGCCAAAGTGACTACAAAATACCCTACATAATTTTTCTTCAAGCTTGATAATTTTTTCATAACTTGACCGACATCATTTGGACCAGAGGTGTCCAAACCGGTCCAGAACGGGCCGCTGTGGATGCATGTTTTCTATCAGACCCAGCAGGAGCGGCACAGACTCCTCCCATTTCCTCAAGTAAGCTCAGTCTTAACCTGAAGATATGAGGAAATGGGAGGAGTCTGCTCTGCTTCTGCTGGGTCTGATTGAAACCCTGCAGGACCAGTTAGGACACCTCTGATTTAGACCCTTTTAGACCCTACTTTAGAGTTAAATACACAAGACCAACGAGACACAAGTGAAAAATGTGATTTTGAAGACCTTATCCCTGTTCAAATGATAGAATATTATGCATAGAATAAACCCATGGATGGCCAAAACATAACCCGAACCCTAACCCAGCTTTTCATTTGAGATTTGTGGTTGTTATTGCGCTGTAGTAACTGTGGAACTGCACCTGCCTCACCAGCTGTAGAGTGCAGCCCTTCTGTTACGAACATTCGCTTTCAGGTGAACACAGGGGTAGTCTTGTTTTTCCAATGTGGTTTTACTGCAAATGGCAAATCAATTCTTGTATCTTATTGTCGTGGAACATGTTACTGACCTTGTGTTTAGAATCATGTGTTTGTCTTCTCTGTAGGAAAGAAACTGGGATTCACCTTTGACAACAAAAATTTCCACAACGTGTCACTGGGGCAGGGGCAGGAGGTGGTGGCGGAGCAGGCCCTGGCTACAGCAGCCAAAGAAGGCCACTGGGTCATCCTCCAGGTACGTACGTCCTTCCATCCATCCATCCATCCATCCATCCATCCATCCATCCATCCATCCATCCATCCATATTAGAAGCATTCTATGGAGGATGCTGTGCTGTTTTATTACTTGGTATACCAATATGCCCATCATAAGAAATCCTGTGCCGTGATGCTGTGTTTAATGTTTTGAGAATCCCACTTTATTCTAGGAAACATTTTTAGGATTTATTTACAATGTCGCTGCACATTGAAGTAATATCTATTTTTACAATTTCCACATATGTAGAAAAAAATACAGACACTGTTTAAAGTTATTTTTCTCTATCATCACCAATAGCATTGCTCCTATCGCAGCAGAATACCTGTGTAGCCTAGAGCTGAAACTCAAATGCCCGCCGCATCATCATGATCCATTGTCACATACGTCCGCTGCTCCTCAATGTCTTGCCCAAGGACACTTTGACACTTGTTCGAAGAGTCGGGATTGAACCCCCCTCCTGCGCAGTGACGGCGCGTCTTCACTCTGAGCCCACACTGCACAGAGAGAAGATCCAATTATAGATGCAGTCCGTCAAACAGACCCTTCCAGACCCCCCTGTGATGAAGACCATCGCAGACACAAAGGAGATGAAGGCTTATGGAGGGCCTATGGTGCAAGCTCTACTAAGACTTTTATTTGTATTCAAGACTTGAAGAATATGTCTGTGTAAAAAAAAAAAAAAGCACATTTTGAATAATTTGCAGGAACCAAATATCACGCAACGTATTTATACATTTATATATACTATACGTTAGGCTCAGGTTTGCTCAAATTTGCTATTTTCACCCACCATGGGCAGTTATCCTTCTCTAAGCTCGGGTCTTTTACCAGAGGCCAGTGAGCTTGAGGGTATCTTTACTGTTCAGAGCACTGCACATTTCTGGACCGAGATAGATCCAAGGTTGTTCCCCGGGACCTGCTGTGACCACTGCCTCGAGTGCAGTGATCACCAGGGGCACTACTGTCACTTTTACCATCCAGGCCATTATAAACAGGTCTGTTGTTACATGGTTAACAGAAAGTATAAGGTGGTTTTTTCGTGTAGCTGAGGTACCTAAAATGAAGCTACACAAAATGTAACTTTAATAAAATTCATGTCACTGTTCCTTGATCTCAATACTTATTTTCTAGTTTCCACATGCATATATTTTAGATCAGCTTTTTCGGACGGATAAGTAAAACCCCTCACGGCCATTCAGCTCTCTGCCTTAAGCTAAAATATGTAACAGATAAAAGGTTTTCTAATGAGGTAAAAAAAAAAAAGAAGTGTGGTTTGATTTGTTCACGACATTAAAAGACAACTCCCAAGGTCAATGAAGCCCAGTAGGGAACTGCTCATGATAAAAAGTTTTGCTCCAACTATTGACTGGCTCCTATTGACTTGCATTGAAAAGTAAACTCCTCTAGCTCAGTGATCGTTTTTGTCTCACTCACCATTTTGGACTTGACAAATCTGTGGTTTAGCATTGTCTATAATCCTAGGTTTTTTTTATTTTTTATATTGCCTTAGAAACTATGTTAGCCAGCATACCTCATATGCCCATATATGTAAAATGGATCCATCTTACTTGGGCGACACGGTGGCTGGGTGGATAGCACTCTCGCTTCTCAGCAAGAAGGTCCTGGGCTCAGATACCGGTTGAAGCAGGGCCATTTTCAGTGGAGTTTACATGTTCCCCCTGTGCCTGCCGAGGTTTCTTCCGGATGCTCCAGTCTCTCCTATCACTAAAAACAGGCATATATGAATGTAACGAGTGAGTGAAAGGACGGTGTTGATTGGGGGCTTTGATGCGCCAGTGTTTTCAGCGGTGTCTAGCTTCTGTGTGGAGGGAATGAAAATATCTGAACTCTGAATATTGTAAAATGCTTTGGGTGACCTTGGTCCGTAGAATGCGCTACAGCATGGGTGACGTCAGCCCCTCTGAGATATGGTCTGTGAGGGAAACTTACCAAATCCACACAGATGGATTGAACATTGTCAACACAAATGGTAAAACAGATCATGACAGTGCTATTGGGGGAATATACTTTGTCATCGTTCATTCTGTTGCATTAGAGCACAAATATGCCATGTTTTCATTATATTATATGCAAATTCTGCTCCTCTTTTGCGACTGAGCCATTCTACCAAGCCATACTCTTTTGTTTTTGAGAAACTTTCATACATTTTCATGTTAAGTCAAAGGGCCTCTCTCCTTCTTTTCCCTCCACTCCCGCCCTCCTGTGTTTTCATCTCGTCCGACAGCCTTCGCAGCACCCAAGGGACTCTGCGTCGTGAGATTTGTGATGGTCCAGACACAATTCCTCCGACAGCACGCTTTGAGCTGTTTGTAACGCAGCAGCAAACAACATGGCGTCTGCAGTTCTGTCTCCGCCTCCTATGAGCTCTTTGTCACATTTTCCAGACTCCACAGTCCACCTCTGTGCCGTTTATCCGCAGGCTCAGTCTCTGCTTTATTCCTCACATCTAAACACTACTATAGAACTTCTATACACTTTTCCCGACTAAATATGGAGGACACTTATCATGTTCAACCCTAGTTTCCTCAACTTTTGGGTCAGTATTTCCACTTCAAGCTTGGTTGGAACCGAAATCTACCTCTTCTACCATCAAACAGTATCTCCACCACCATCCATCCATTTTCTTCCCCTTCATCCATTTCTGGGTCGGGGGGGTGGCAGTCAGAGCTGCACCCAGTACACTTAGAACCAGCCCCTCACTGATCCTCCTGCAGGTGGTGAGTCCACAGGAGCTGAGATCTTTCAGTGGGGGCTTCAGGGAAAGTGGGGTTAAGTGTCTTGCCCAAGGACACAACGACAGCAGTCATCAGTGGGAGTGCCTATACATATAATATAATCATATAAATAATAACAAAACCATAATCATTTGTTTGTTATTAGTGCTCCTTACATCTTAGAAAAACAAAATATTAAACATTTACATTGCTTCCTTCAAGACTTGAGCGTTAAAGGGTTAACAATGTCATGGAATGAACTGTTTTCTGACTTTTAAAAACAAAAGTACGTCAAGAGAAAAGTGATTCTTTAGTCACTTTTGCCACAAGATGTCTCCATGTACATCTTGACACAACCATTGCGAGAACCACCAGGTCTATCAACCATATCCTGGCTACAAACTACAACATTTCATCCCTCCTCGAGTTTGGTTGTTGTATGCAACGGTTTGTCTTGATATTTGTTATGTTTATTGAGGGAAACAAAGTTATGTCTGTGGAGAAGGTGGATGCCGTCTCAGGACAATTTTTGATGCCATTTTCCAGCAATGTGAAACTAAAGCGGGTAACAAGAACACTATATCTACAAGTAGATTTATGAGAAGGAAGACTTAGAAATGACAGAATTGAACCTGATCCACTGCAAAGACATGGGCCCGTTGAACCACCGGTCGTGTGCGCTGCGTTCTGATGGATCAAGCGTCGCGCCCAACGTCCACACTTGCCATTTGGTGAAACAAAAAAAGTTCTCTTTTGTCATCATTACTTTTTACTTCTGAAACTATTACTAAAAGATAGGTGATTTACAGGTGTACATTTGCAGCACTTTAATCAAGAGCATTTATGAGAAACCTGAGATGCAAGGGCTGCCTCGTAATTCAAAAAAGACTTAAGCTATTGCTAACTTTCAACTCCAGTTCCTTTCCCTATCCTTCCTTGTTCAATCAAATGTATCTTTTATGTGAAAATGTTGGTCCAGGTTTGGTCTGGGGAAATTCAACATCCTTTCAAATAAGTGTTGATGCTAAATGACTCCTTATGTATTTAAAACGTGAAGAAATAAGATGTGAGGTTGGAATGTGTTTGCTGAATTTGGATGCAGCCATGTCCTATAAAGAAAACAAAAGCAGAACTCCTGTTGTCTGTAACCAGCTTTATTCTGGTAAATGCTGTGGGTGTTTGTAAAGCCGTACAAGTGAAACACAAATCAAACTATTTTCTCTTTTTCTGCAAAAGTCTAACGGAGCAAAACTGGACGACCGGAATAACCATACTTTATCATCTCCCGCTCATTTGTTCTCTGTAGTTCTGATCAACATTTATATTTGTTATTTGGCACATCAGTCCAGTCCACAGAGCGACACGCTAAACTGCAACCAATGACGTCTAAAACAAAACAATTGATCATGCTTTTCATAACACAAGATGGCACATGCTCAACAAATCAACCCTGTACCAAGAATATTAAGATTCTACTTCATTTTTGTTGTCATTTTGTACATTACAATTAGCAAAACTTAACCAAAACAAGCTCTCAAAAACAATTGTATATATAAGTACACAACAAAAGCAACAAAATAAATAAATAATATTATTCAGTTGAACACTTAATAATAATACATGGTCTTGTTTCATGTACGAAAGGGAGTGGGAAGAAGTAAAAACATATTAAATCCCACCCCTTAAATTGTCAAATGATGATTACTCTTTTAAATGCAGCCGGCAGAAATCTGACCTTGACATGATATTTGAGTTGCCTTTAAGACAGTACGTGCCTCTTATGGCGGACTCGCTCTGGCCTCCCCTTGGGCTCTCCTCAGGCTCTCCTCGGCTCCGTCAGCCCAGCCGGGGTCAGTGCCGGTGGGTCATTATCCTGCCGCACAGCCCGACGGCTTGAGCACTGAGAGGCAATCAGAACTACGATTGGACTTGAATATCCCCACGCTGAGAACGGAGCAGCTCAAACTCAGCCCAAACTCAGCCCAAACTCAGCCCAAACGCTGCCCACGCCTCCAGCTCTTAGCCCTAAAGCCCCATTCAGACTGTCACCGGGACCCGAGGAGAGGAGCCGTCTGCAGGGATCACACAGTCAACACTTGCATGGCACTAGACCCTTTTACCTCTGGGTTCGAACTGAATGCGTCATATACTGTACTTCTCTTATTCTTTTCTGCACCAGTTACATTTAAAAATGTATTTAAATAGAACACAGTTGAATGCAAGCCGCATGTTTTCATGTTG